AATTCCCTCAGATTCTTTTGCCACCCCATTCACAAGAGCTACATCTCCTAAAATTTCCTTTGGATCACTGGAATCTGTTTTCACCCCGTTCACAAGAGTTTCTTCTCCATTAGATTCCTTTTCAACTCCATTCACAAGAACCTCATCTCCATTCACCATCTTCTTTTCCACTTTTTTTACTATGGTTTCATCACAACTCGCAAGTTTCTCTTCATCAGTTGATTTTGGTTCTATCTCGCAAGGAGACTTTTCATTATCATTGTTTTTCTCTTTTGAATCAGATGTCTTAGTTTTATTTGCATTGGAATCAGTTTCCATGACAACAGATTCAGAATCGGTGGCATCAGTTTTTATTACTTTATCAGATTCAATCTCCATGGCAATGTTCTCATCATCCTCATCAATGGGAATATCTTGAATTTGAAGTTGCTCCTGCTTTGGTTTGGTAGTTTCTTCTTTAGATGCTTTTGATTTTTGTTGTTTCTGCATCAATAGAAATGCTGCATGCCTCACAAATACCATGTACTTGTGTCTATGAAATAAATAAACAAAAATATTACCTAGGATACATCAGATTTGATAATTTTTGGTGAATGTAATTTGCTACTATCACCAAAATAGATTTATCAAATAAATATACTAGTAGTTATGAAATTTAGAAGTACCGCAAAAATCATATTCGAGGCCGCAGCTTTAATAGAAGCCGCACCCCTAACTTGAGACATTGACAAGTTTTGATCCCAGGAAAAAGTCTGCAATATAAACCGCACCCAAAACTTTCACAAACCAAATAGCCACCACATATTTCAGAAAAAGATATACCATTTAATTTTAAATTAAGGCATAATTTTTCGAAAATTTCAATGATTCCTGACGCTTAGATTAGAGTCTAATTAAGGTTTTCTGTAGTCATTGACGCTTATTCAAGAGTACAGGTTTATTGTGGGTAGCATGACTGGGTTTCGACAATGAGCTGTTATTATCGACAAAAGTGTTAAATTCTTTTTCAATGCTCAGCTTATCTTTCGTAAACAACTAATTTCTTGATTTAAAAAAAAATCATGCCGTTTTCCCATCAAAATCAAAGCCAAATGACCGCACGACAACAACGGTAAATCTCTTCCGTGTTTTGTTTACCATGAGGTCACTGAACTACATTAACATATTTAAATGAGCTGTGGTAATTTAATCATTTTGGCACCATCCAGCGTTTGATTGGTTAATTAGCGACTTGACCTATCAGGTCAACAAAAACAGTTTCAAGTCACTAAAGATGTTTGAACAAACATGGCGGATATCGTATCGGATCGAGCGTTTATATGTGACCGAAACTAAGTTGAATTTTTACAACAATTCAACGAATTTATTTTTTGTATGTCATTGTATGTCACTTTGAAAACAAGCAAGTTATTCACTTGTGTGAAACGCAGCATGACCGTTACCATGATCATTTGGTATTAAGAATGCATTCGTTTTTGTTTTGACTTCTTTTAGAATATACTTTTCATTATCAAAAAAATAAAAAAATAAATATATATTACATTAAATAATATATTTAATAGAGTATTTTTTTTGTTATCATGCAAACATTTTTTTTTTGATTGACTTTTTTTTGTTTTTATATTTCCCCGATGTCTAAATTAAACATGGAATGTACAGTCACTCTGCCGGAAGTCGAACGTGCCGCAATCGACTGTGTCAGACGGCTGTCTCTCACTTGTGACCTATACCGGTGCTAATTCAAGAGATTGTGGTATACAGTCCCGTAATATGCAAATACATACAAATCTATTTGTAGATATTATTTATTTTGCAGTATGTTATACAGTGAGAAATTTGTCAAGTTTGTCTGTGTGTAAAAATCGGAAAGTGCCTTAAAATCGCAACAAAGTTGCAATCCAGTGTCATGCATCTCATTAGCATATCATTATCCCTTCTGGCCTTTGTTTTCTGCGAAAAATTTCCCACTGTTACCGAAGTGAATGCTCTAATTAAAGCCGCACCAAGACTTCACGCATCTGAATTCGTCCATTGAAAAAATGAATTTTAATTAAAGCCTGCGGCCTCAATTAGAAATTTTACGGTAAGATATTAGTTACCACAGTGAAGTGCAAATTGCACGACTTACTCAACAAAAGCTTCAATAAGTTCTTGTCTCAGGGTACACAGCTTATGTCTGTGTTTCTTGGGATAGCCCATGGCTTGAGGCTTCTTCACTTACTTCTTCACCTTCCACTGAAACATCAAAACATACAATTATCACACAAAATTCTAACGATGATTCACTTAAACTTTTGACATCACAAGTTTTAATCAAAATTGTTGATATCGAAGATAACTATTTTGTGAAACAGTACCAATGTCATGGAATGTTGAAATTTCAGATTTCGTTCAAAAAACCATTTCAAATTGATTAGGTGGTAATTGCATGAGATACTCACTTGGAAGGTAGTGTATATCAGGAGGGAATGTCCTGAGTAGATCTAGGATATAGTAACGTCCATCATTTCCTTTGATTCCTTTGCACTCTATGGATGAATATAGTTCCACTAATTCGTTTTTCTCATTTAACACCTTGTGTGGAAGGATTTTCAGTTGTTGTGCTGATTTACTTAACTACAAGGAGAAGGATTATGAAGGACATACTGTAAGATATAGCAGCTGGTAAAACAAATGAATTGTTGAAAAGTGAAAGAATGTCAGTAAGAAACAACCACAAGAAATAATTGTACAGTATTTAATAGACCCTGTGAGTTACCAAGTTTAAGAAATATTATAAGTTTGAATAAGAATGATTTAGAGCATGTCAGAGATAAGTTTCCAGAACTGCATTCATTTGAATGAAATGGCCACCATTTGGCCATTTTGAATCCAATCTGCAAAACAAGATGAAAAGCATCAAGGTTCCATAATGTACAGAGATTGAACAACATCCATTCACATTTTGATATAGATCCAGTTCTGAAATGGCAGAATAGAAGCAAGTAATGTCATTCAAATATGCAACTGTTTGGTGTTGTCATTTGTCATATATAATAAATCTCTGAAAACTATTTTTATGGAGAGACGACCACTATTGACGCTGGGAATGGCATTCGCTACATCCAATCACACTGCAGAATTGGTTCGTCACTAAAAGGCATGATCAATAGCCAATCTCGATGTTCTCCATGCAGTCAATTCACCATTGATAGTAAAGTTACTATTAACTGCCAAATTTTGTTATTACGACACCAATAACGAACTCAGCCATTACGTGGAGAGTAATTTCAGTATATATAACTAAACTCACCAACTCAACAAACTTTTCATTTGTAGCGACTGTTTTTCCGAAGTCAATCGAACCATAAATTACTGATTCTTCTTGTTCACGTTCCAATATTCCCGGAATGATGGATTGTGCTGTGACTCTGTAACCACGGTAATCAATGACAACCGTTCCTAGGGTATACAATCCCTCCACATCAATGTTATTGTATGCTTTGACACCTTGCAGATCACAACTCTGAAATCAAAGAATTAATTTAATTCAATTTCCAGTGAATAAATACTCTAAA